CTTGGTACTCTATTCAGAATGTAAGTTGTTGTCTTTAGTGCTTCTCCCCAGAGTGACTCTGGTAAAGAAGAATGAGCAATCATACTTCTTACCATATCCTTAAGAGTCATGTTTCATCTTTCAGCTACATGAGCAATCATACTTCTTACCATATCCTTAAGAGTCATGTTTCATCTTTCAGCTACACCATTCATGCTAAGTGAACCCGGCATGGTGTACTGTGGGACGATAGCGCATTCCTCTAGGTATCTAGTAAATGGTCCTGGACGTTGTTCACCTGAACCATCATATCTGACATAGTACTCACCACCACGATCAGATCTAACGGTTTTAATTCTTCTGTTGAGTTGATTCTCAACTTCAGCTTTATAGGCTTTGAACATGTCCAGAGATTCAGATTTTTTATGAATAAGATATAGGTACCCATAATGTGAGTAATCATCTATGAATGATATAAAATATTGTTGACCTTTCCATGATACCGTAGGAAAATGCCCACAAATATCCGTATGTATCAATTCTAAGACATCCGAAGATATATTGGCACCTAATCTCTTTACTTTGGTCTGTTTTTCCTTGATACATTCAACATATACGTCGAAGTCCGAAAAATCAAGGGAATCCAAAATACCATCAGACACAAGACACTCAACTCTACCTTTTGAGATATGACCCAAGCGCTTATGCCATAATGTTGCTGAATTTTCCTTATTTAATTTACGCTTAGTACCACGCGATTCTGCATGCAAAGTTTTATTATAAGAAGCAATTATATTAAGCAAATATAGGTTGTTATAAGTACTCAAGTAACCAATTCCCACAACATTTGAATTAAAAAATAAACTGAATTGATTGTTTCTAAATGAACAAGAATAACCTAATTTTTCCAATACAGAAACTGAAAGTAAATTCCGTCTAAAAGACGATACTACAAAAGTATCTTTCAAATCCAAATAAGAACCAGTTCCTAATAACAACCTGAAGTGCCCAATTACTTCCACATCTACCGATTATCCGTCGCCCATAAAGATGTGTCTTTCAACATCACTTGGCTTTCGGTAGCTCAGGCAACCCTGCATAGAAACACTTATGTGAGTAGTAGCACCAGAGTCTAACCACCAAGTGTTTCTAGGTACTGAAGCTAAATTAACATCAGAACAGACCAAAGTAAGGAATGTACCCTTATTAGCACGCCAGGCGTGATATTTGGTACAATCCTTCTTTACGTGTCCAGGCTTGTTACAGAAGAAACAACCCTGATTATCCTTATGTTGTTTCTTCTGAACTGGACCCTTAGCAGCTTTATTATCATTCTTTCTTTTTTTGCCCTTATCCTTAGAGATATAATCCAAATGAGCACTTTCTGTCTTATCTTGCTTCAACCTGTTTATTTTTTTTGCACACAGTATGAAATGAGCTCATTTAGAGTTCATTTCTCCTTTTGACAGTTATAACTGACCTTGAACTGACTGAACTGTGCAGGAAGAGATAATAAAACCAGATGCACCAATAACTCATCACAAAGATCGAGTTTAAGTACCTTAAGTTTTGAAGCAATATGAGACATTTCCATAATGTACTCCCTGATATTTCCTTTGCCCTTATACTTCATCGAAATCAAGCGAGCTAAAAGCGTGCTTGTTTCTACCTTATCGTTTTTCGCAAAACGCTTCTCAATTTCGGCAAGGAAATCTTTAGTCTTAGTAATGCCTTCGGATTCTATGCCCCTGAAGGCTTCCGGAACGCCGCGCTTAATGATCATAAGACTCATACGATTTGAATGCTCCCACTTCTCATACTCCTTCTTTGCATCAGGAGTGCTATCCGTATTAAGAGGTTAAGGTTGTTCGGTTCTTAATGCAAGGTCTAGATCCATACAACCAAGAATAATTAATATGTTCTCTTTCCAAACCTTAAAATTTATCCCATTTAGCATGGGAATTGAGTTGATGTTAGCAAAAATTGTTACATCAGATACATTAGCTGAAAAACAAAAAAAAAATGCTCACATTAATAACCATAATTAGTAATCAATAAAATTTTAATAATGACAAATCCCATCCAAGATATCAGGTATAACATTAATATCAAGTCTTTGGACAGTAATATTAATTGCAACAACAATCAAACACTGATAATAACACATGTCAAATAATAAAACTATCTTTGGATCGATTCACTATCCACATGTAAACCTTATAATTGTCACATGTTTATCATCACAGATGTATATGCAGTCTAAATAAATATTAACCTTCCTTTGGGCCGATTAAATATTTACACGAAAACATACACACAAACATCTGACATCCCTCATGATCAATTTACACAAGAGAGGTTACTTTGGCAACATCTTGTTTTAATTAATCATTTGGAATGAGAGACAACTTAATATCTTAGCGTCATATTATTTGAATAATTGATTAACTACCAAAATTAATTCAAATTAAACAACTTAATTTGAATTAGAAGAATTTTCCATAGCTTAATTAGGGCCCATAACTTAATTGAATAAATTAAGTATACCAAAGTGGATTCATAATTTAATATGAAAAAGCTGAGGCTTAACCATAGCGAACACGAAGTTCTCTTAACTTCGAACGCGAGGTTCGTTTGTATTGAGTACAAGACTCACCTAAGAACGAACGCGAGGTTCGTTTGAAAAAAATGAGCGTGATGTTCAACTTGAGAACGAACGCAAGATTCGTTTTAAAAATGAACGCGAAGTTCGACCTGAGAATGAATGCGGTGTTCAACTTGAGAACGAACGCGAGGTTCGTTTGGATTGAGCACATGGCTCGCCTGAGGATGAACGCGGAGTTCGACTTGAGGATGAACACGAGGTTCGACTTGAATTGAGCGTGAGGCTCACAAGAGAACGAACGCGAGGTTCGTTTGAATTGAGCGCGAGGCTCATCTTATAACGAACGCGAAGTTCGTTTGAATTGAGCGCGAGGCTCACCTTAGAACGAATGCGAAGTTCGTTTGAAGATTTCAAGCCTCGCCAAAAATTGAGGTAACCACCTCCTTAATTCCCACACGTTTTCACGCACGAACCCTTAGGGTTTCATTCTGAATCCGCCGTTGCCATTGCTCCTGCACCCAAGGTCAAAACCCTAGGGTTTCCTGACGCCGCCGTCGCCGTCGGAGTCGAAAGCTAGGCCGCCAGCGATACTTCGCCGGCGAGGAGCACGGGACCGATGACCAAACAAAATAGATCCAAAAATTCCTCGATTTTATTTCAAAACCAGATCCAGAATCGAAAGATAACTTCTTGATCCAGATCCAAAAAAAAAAATCGAAGGAAAAACCAACAAAAATTTAAAAACTTTATTGTTCACGAAAATTTACTGTTCATCCGTGAACAGTTCTGAGAAAAATCAGAGATTTTTAAGATAAAAAAACCCAAATTTTAAGAACTTAAACCCCTAAGAATTAATCACGGGTGACTCTGATACCACTTGTTTGATCTAAGCGTGATTAAATAATAGAGATTAAACATTAAGAGCGGAAGCTTATACCTGAATCCATGGATTGGACTTGAGTTGGGTTTTGGATCTTCTAATCTTAGGGTTTCTCTCCTTAAGATCTCTTTAGATGGGGATAAGAGAATGAGAGTGGCTAACCCTAGATTAGGGACCATAACCCCATATATATAGGTGTTGTACATTTATAATTTGGCCCCTCATCAAATTACAATTACAACCTGGTATCTGCACATATAACCCCATGATTTATTTAAATACTTATTAACCCAAATTAATTGATCACTTTAGTGGGTTATCCTGAAGAATAGCAATACACACAGATTAATTATATGTGCTCACAAATAGATTTAATTAGATTTAAATCCAACACTTCATTGAAACAAAATTTCATTAGAGATAACCCAAAAAGAAATCACTAATTTAAAGGGAATTGCTAATGGCTTCAATTTATTTGAGATTTGCAATCTACAACTATAATTTCGTCTTTAAGGTTTCGCTCTTTGATAAAGGACTATTAATTAAAGGTTAAGTGTTTTTCTCAAACCGTTGAGAAACCTTAACTTAAAGAAGAGTTTTCCTTCAGAATCATTTGAAGACATCCTTAATCATTAATATTTGTGCCATTAAAGTTAACATCATAAGAATAGGTGAGCTTGAACTCATCACAATTAAAGGAGTGTGAGGACAATTTGAGAAAACGAAGGGAGAGGTATAATTAAACTAGGGGATGTGACAAACTCAAAAGACCAAAATCCATAAGGAATCATTTGAGAGGAAATTGATTTCTGTAAATTTTGATACTTTTTGTATTTTCCAGAAAATATTTCTGTAAATTTTTTTGAACCAAACACAGTTTACGAAAATCTACAGAAAATTTTTAATATTACAGAATTGCCATTGTCAGACATTTTGAGTAAACTTTTCTATAAAATTGTGCAACCAAACACCCCCTTTTTTGTTAAATAACTGATGTGCCTATTCCCCCTATTCATCTTTGTTTTTTGTTTTTTTTTTTTTTTGGAGGAATTCAAGGGAGAGAGTTTTAGTACCATCATCAATCATAAGGGGAAGGAAAAAAAGTATATACGAATGAGGGGTGCTAGGGACACACCCTTGGGCACATCACCAACCACATTCCCCCTCTATCTACAGTGCAGGGGCCCCACATGTGTATTTTTTTAAAAAATCACATGTGGGGCCCCTACACTGTAGATAGAGGGGGAGTGTGGTTGGTGGTGTGTCCAAGGGTGTGCCCCTATCATTTCTTTATACGAATTGCTTTTTGTAAACGAAAACATGGCGAACATCCAACGGCGAACATTACTTCTCAGTACCGGCGGCAAACATCTTGAACCGTTGACTGGTAACGCGGGGAGAAGTGCATATCTTCGCTCCTTCTTTCGTCGTACTCAACGGTCACGGGCCACCACTAACGTGCGCCTCCATTTTTCCAACTATAAAACACTGCAACTGTTCGCTCCTCCTTCCCTGAATAGTCCGTCCTATAAAAATTCGTACGCGAATTATTCGAATGGATATGGATAAGCTCAGCTACGAGATCTTCACCATCCTCGAGAGCAAGTTCCTTTTCGGCGCCGATGCTGTGTTCCACGGACGCGCCTGCCGCGGGCTCAATGGCATCCCACACGTCTTGAGCCTTCATGTAGACTTTCATCTTGATTGCCCACGAAGCATAGTTGTCCCTCGATAACGTCGGGTATTGAAGAGTGAGCGAACCCACCTTGGTCGTCATCTTCTCCGAACTCGTCATCTCTTCAGATCTTGGTTGGTACTTAGGCATACACCGGCTCTGATACCACTTGTTGGCTTTGAAAAATAGGATCGGCCAAGTTCAGACCTGAAAACTGAGTACAAAACCTGTAAACAAAGAGAGCTTTGGGCTGATTTTGGGAGGGGTGAAGGACAAGAACAGAGACGTGTTTCTGCAGGAATTTTCTGCAGTTAAAAACCTCTGTTTCTGTTTGATGTACACGAACAGAGAAGGAGCAGAGAGCTATCAAAAGTTTTATTCACGTTCTTCTTTTTTAAACTCATCAATATGGTTTACATATATATAGGATTAAGATTACGGCACTGTTTGGCAACCAAAAAAAGTGTCTTATCTAAGAGCTTGTGTCTTATTGACTTGGTCAATAAGCTAGTAGAGCTGTTTGGTGACAAAAAATAGGAGGAGGTTATTTTGGAGATTGTGTCTTTTGCAAGTAGCTTTTGGAAAGCTACCTCAAGTAGCGTTCGTCTTTGGGAAGGAGCTGCCAATTTTTTTTCTTCCGTTTTGCCCCTAATAATTCTAATTTTATATCAATAATATTGCATGTCTCTTTTAGTTATTTAACAAATTTAAGCTAGTTGTACAGCTACTTTTGCCAAACAGCTCTAGTCAATCAACTAGCTACACAGCTAACAGCTTTCAGCTACAATTTCACAACTTTCAGCTAGCTTAACAGCTTTCAGCTATAATCTCGCAGCTTTCAGCTAGTTTTGCCAAACAGAGCCTAAGTTAGAGCAGCGGTTTGCAAACAGTCTTTCGATGAGGTCGTTGCCCCACCAAATGTGACGGTTATTCACATCTAATGCAACGGTTCTAAAACTGATAAATGAAGCCGTTTAGTGAGGGGAGCGGTTTGTGTTGGAGAAAGGATAATATATGATCAGAAGTGTGATGGATTTCAGAGGCACTCAAGTTTTGCTCACTCTCACTCTCTGTTATTCGGAGATCGAAATAACTCTTGTGAATAGAAAACGCTTCTGTGATGTCCAAGTGACCAAACTGTCACCTAGATAAAATGCCATGCCGCCTGTGCTGCGCCTATCATCAACATCTCCCGCAAGGTCACTGTCAGTGAATCCCACCAACTCTTCATTGCCTCGACCTCGTTTATACACCAATCCGTAGGACATAGTACCCTTCATGTACCTCAAAATATGCTTGACAACCTGTCTATGCAAAACTGTAGGGTGCTCCATGTACCTACTCACAATCCCCACGGCATATGTGATATCGGGTCGGGTGTGAGTTAGATACCTTAAGCATTCGATAATGCGTCTATACTCCGTCACGTCTACCGGTGTTCCTTCAGAATCCTTTCCAAGCTTTAGTTTTATTTCCATAGGATATTGAGTCGGGTTGCAATCCATCATGCCGAACTGATCCAAAACTTTCTTCGCATAGGTCGCCTGCCTTAGTTCAATACAATCATCTCGCTGATCCACCTCGATACCAAGATAATAGGAAAGCAATCCAAGGTCACTCATCTCGAACTCCTTCATCATTTGTTGCTTGAAAAACTTTATTTCATCCGCCCTCGAGCACGTAACGATCAAGTCATCTACGTACACGCCAACAATGAGTGTATCCCCTCTGTTACTCCTTGTGTATACCGCCTGCTCCTGAGTGCATCTTGCAAATCCGATGCCCTTCATGCACTTGTCGAGGCGCGTGTTCCATGCCCGAGGTGCTTGGCGTAGACCGTAGAGTGCCTTTGAAAGCTTGTAGACCTTGTGCTCTTGATTCTTCACAACGAACCCTTCAGGTTGAATCACATAAACTTCTTCCTGGAGATCACCATTTAGGAATGCCAACTTCACATCCAGATGGTGCACCTCCCACCCACCCACCCGTTCTGTGCTGATATAGCGAGGATTATTCTGATGGTATCAAGCCTCGCCACAGGTGCAAACACCTCATCGAAGTCCACGCCTTGCTGCTGGACGTACCCTTTTGCTACAAGTCTTGCTTTGTGCTTGAGAATGTTGCCTTCATTGTCCTTCTTCAGCTTGTACACCCATTTGAGACCAATGGGTTTGGAACCCCGCGGTAACTCCGTGAGTACCCAAGTCTTGTTCTTCTCGATGGCCTCCATTTCCTTCTCCATAGCTGTCCGCCATTCTCGATCTGTTGTAGCCTCAATGTAGTTTGCAGGTTCTTCTGTGATCAGGAACAACTCCTCTGCAGGGAGATCAATCACCTCCGTCTATGCATAGATGTCCGCAAGGGATCGATAGCGTACTGGAGTCATCACTGCAGCTTCAGGAGGTCCGGACAGCTCCAATGCAGTGGGGTTTTCTGCGACTACTGCAGTTCCTGAACCTGTGCCGGTTTGTGGACTGTTTCGGCCAGCTACAGGTTGTTTTGATCGGTCTGTAGACTGCCCAGATTGACCTCTCGTCGGCTCCAATACGGCGGGGAATGCTGCTTCATTGACTGATCTTGGACCAGCAACCAGCTGAGGGCTGGTTCGGATAACTGGACTGCAATCTGTCCAGTTTGGACTGCAATCTGTCCAGTTTGGACTGCCGGAGATGTGCGGGCTGCTGGCTGTCCGTTTCGGCCAGCGGGTTGTCCAGGGGCTTGCTGAATGGTTCGGTCTTCCTGCTGTCCAATTTGGACTGCAGGAAATGCGCCGGCTGTTGTGCCGGTTGCTGCAGTCTCCCCTTCTGCTGTGAACACCACCCTGTTGGGTGATCTTTCGACTCCATCGGCGCTCCATTGCCATTCTTTTCCTTCCTCGAACACGACATCCCTGCTGACACGCATTTTGCTATGTTGAGGGTCGTAAAGGCGATGCGCTTTGCTTCCTTCTTCTACTCCAATGTACACCATTGGCGTGCTCCGGTCGTCGAGTTTCTTGTGTAAAGGACCTGCAATTTTCACATGCGCCACACATCCGAAAACTCTCAAGTGTTCTAGGTGGGGTTTCTTACCAAACCAAGCTTCGTAGGGTGTGTGGTCGTGCAACGCCTTGGTTGGTAGTCGGTTGAGGATGTACACCGCGTGCCTAACCGCTTCGCCCCACATGGTTCCAGGCATATGCATGCTCTTAAGTAGGCTCCTCGCCATGTCCATCACCGTGCGATTACGCCTCTCCACTACACCGTTTTGCTGCGGGGTGTACGGTGCAGTGAGATGACGCTTGATGCCGTAGTCTTCACACAACTTGGTGAAATCCTTTAACAAAAACTCGCCACCACGATCCGTCCTCAATGTCTTCACCTTGTGGTCACATGCGTTCTCAACCTCTGTTTTGAACTTCTTGAAGGTTTCACAAGCTTGACTCTTGGCCTTCAACATGTATACCCACATCCATCGGCTGAAATCATCAACGATAAGAAGGAAGTAGTTATTCCCAGCAAGTGTAGATGGGGTGATAGGACCACATAGGTCAGCGTGTAGTAACTCCAGCGGCTTCTGAGCTCTGAAATTTGCTTGCGAAGGGAACGACAGTCTTGCTTGCTTGGCGACGAGGCATCCTTCGCATAGTTGATTTGGGTGCAAGATCTTCGGCAACCCGGAAGCCATCCTCTTATCAGTCATCATCTTGAGGGCGAAGAAATTGACATGCCCAAGGCGAGCATGCCATAGCCAAGCTGGATCGTTAATATTCGCCATCAAACACGCCGGCTTGCAAGTTTTTAACTCTATCCTGTACAATCGGTTAGTTGAACGTGTCACCCTCATCAAGAGAGCACCGTTCCTATCAAACACCCTCAGGAACTCACCAGAAATAACAACGTTGCTTCCATCTTGTTGCACTGAAAGAGGATAGAGCATTTCCCCTTGATCTCTACCGCGGATCCATCACCAAACTTGACGGTTCCCTTGATGTTCTCGTCGAGCTCCTTGAACTTGTCTCGGTGGCCGGTCATGTGATTGCTAGCTCCGTATGTCAAGGGTACCAAGTGTTAGTTGTCAACATGTGCCTCCCTGCCTTAAAGTAAATCCGCATCACCTTCTCTTCATTAAGCAAAATGACACTGACGCATTCCTCTAACATACGCGCATCATCAAGGTGGCTCTCGTCATCATGGCAACGGGGTGAGATGGCCTCCTGTTCATTATGCGGCGTTGCTTGTGACACTCCGGACTGCAAAGTGCCCGTAACTCCGCAATGAAACGCATTTGATATTGGATTACTGTCTCGAACCACCGCCTGGGCTGACTCTCCCCTCCTGACGAGCCTGCCACCATGGCCGAAACCACCTCCTGAACGTCCTCCTCTGCCGCCGAAGCGCCTTCGTCCCTTGCCTCGGCCGCGTGCTCCCTCCGCGGCTTCCTTAGGGCAGCCAAGTGTGCTGCCCGCCTGCCGTGGTGGCGTCCACCTCGGCTCTTGCCCGCCACTGTCCGCGACCGGCTCCTCGACCGGACCTCGTCCGCTACACACTGGTTGAGGTGTTGAGAGGAAAGCTCGCCGTTTCTCCTTGCTCCTTTGCCTTGCCACTCCGATGCGTCAACAATAGTGATCTTCGCACGCTGGTTTCGAAAACACGGTGCACCTCTCTCGTGGGCTTTGAGACGCCCGATCGCCTCCATCGAGATGTCATGTCGTTCGATGTCCCGAATTGTTCAAGCGATGGAGACGATAGTAAGGAATCTCTCCGGTACCGCCCGAAGTAGCTTCTGATCGACGTATATCTCCTCCATCTCGCCGCCTAAGCCCGAATTTAGTTGGACGACCTTCCGTCACTTCGTCGAAAAATCGTCGATCGTTGTCATTCGCTTCATCCGGAGAAGTTCGAACTCGGACTCAAGGTCTGGCACCTTCGCGTTCCTCACACGATCCGCTCCTAGTGCCATTGTTTTAGCGTCTCCCATGGCCTCTTTTGCCGTTTGCTTCTCTGCGATCACCATCCAATTCTCAGAATCCCTGCGTAGCATGGCCGCCAACGCATCTGACCTTCCTGTTCCACGGACGCACCTGCGCGGGCCTCAATGATCCCACACGTCTTGAGCTTCCATGTAGCTTTATCTTGATGCCAACGAAGCAATATTGTCCTCGATAAGTCGGTATCATGAAGACGTGAGCGAACCCACCTTGGTCGTCATCTTCTCAACTCGTCATCTCTCAGCATCTTGGTGGTACTTAGGCATTACACCGGCTCTGATACCACTTGTTGGCCCTTTGAAAAATAGGATCGCAAATTCAGACCTGAAAACTGAGTCAAAACCTGCTAAACAAAAGAGAGCTTTGGGCTGATTTTGGGAGCGGGTGAAGGACAAGAACAGAGACGTGTGTTTCTGCAAGGAATTATTCGGCATTAAACCCTTTTCTCTGTTTGATGTATCACGAACAGAGAAGGAGCGAGAGCTATTCAAAATTTATTACACGTTCTTCTTTTTTAAACTCATCAATATGCGTTACTAATAAGGCATTAGATTATAACTCTAATCTTATCAATAACTAGAAAACTCTACTAAACTTAGTATTCTTTCAACTAGAATTCTAAGTCTACTAACTTAAACTCAGACTACCAATTCGGACTGATTAACAACTTCAATTTACCAGCGCCCCCAACGCCGCCTCTTCTTCTCCGCCGGCCAACGCCCTCGACCTCCTTCTCACGAACCCTAGCCTTCTCTTCAGGCGGAGCGTTCTTCGCACCGGCAGCGCTCGACGTTCAGTACCGAGGTCAGGCGAATTCGCACGATCAGCGACTTCGATAAGCCTGCTGCGCGCTGCTACATCTCGCGACCCCCGTCGCCTTTCGTCCTTCCGATCGCGACGCCGACGAGGCGGCTGCTACCGATTTCGGGTCGGCGCGTCTGCCAGGGCCCCTCCGCAGCGCCGCGACGGGCCGGCGGTGGTGAGGTCGGTGCGACAGAAGACGATGCTGGTCGCCGTCGAGGAGGAGCGGGGATGGGACCGACGGCGACGGCGATCAAAAAAAAACCCCACACGTGCTTCATAACCAAGGACGGTTCCCGTTTTTTGCGACGGCATTGAGGATCTGTTGTGTTTCAGTCTGGGGAGGGGGACGGAGCGCGGCGCGGCCAGCCGACGCCGTCGAGGAAGGAGGACGGTTAAGATCGGCGGGAATTGCGCGCCGACACCGTACTGACAACCCATAACTAATTTTTTTTGGAAATGATGGAAATGCCACTGAAGTTCTCACTGAGTTACGTTCCGGGGGCTGGGTGGTAATTTTTCACAGGTGGATCAAGCGATCGCCATGGCGTTCAGGCAGAGGAATTGCGCGAGCAGTTATGTTCGAGTGCAGGTTTGTTCCGATATTTATTTATTTTTCAATTAAATTTCACAAAATTAGTGTATGATATTTTTTTGTGAAAATGCGTACTTATACTTAAACTCCGCAGGCAAGTGGGGTTTTTGTTAGAAAGGAGGGCTCGAAGCTAGCGGCCGCAGAGGAGATCCTCTCTCAACGCAACGTCGAGTCCGTCCTCTTCAGGGGCAAGAAGGTTTCGGAGCTGAGCAACGCCGAGAAGCTCGACGGGTTCGCAGAGGAGCTGGTCA